CCTCAGAGAGCGCAAAGTCTGCTGATTAAGGGTGCGATGCCCAGCAGCGCGGGGCGGCTTCAACCCCCGAAATTCCTCGAGACCTACAGGTCCAAGAGGGCCCTTGATGACCCACAGCAAGATTGCAAACAAGAACAAAGGCTACAGCGTGCTTGAATGCGAGTCTGCCTAGCTTCCACGCAACTCCTCCCGAAGCCTTATGGCTCTAAGGATTGGACAGGCTCGTCACGATTGATGCCGAGCCTGGAGAAGGGAAGCCCAGACATGATTGCAAGCGGATCGTCAAAAGCGGCTATAGTTTTCGGTTTCAGCGAGATTCAACAAGGTTTCATCTCGGAGGTGGTGCAGATGAGCAGTGCGAGCGCGCCATGCAAGCCGGCTTAATGTTCCAGTCTCGGAGGCCTGCTTCTTCTTCCATCCTTGTGGTCACTCCCCAGGGCATCCTCCAAACAATCGCCGGAGACTGCAATGTACTGGTACACTGGCACTGTACTTGACTTCGCAACAAGTCCTAGCTACATTAGACATCATTAGACTACGTTCGACTACATCACCACGTAAAGAAGTGCAGGTAGAAAAGCTTTGCCTGCACTTCATCTACGCCAGGAACTTGATGCAGAAGATGTTGCAGGTCGTCTGTGAGCTTCCCTCGCCACCTGGCGTGCACTTGCGCCTTTGTTGAAGCTGAGACAGCAAGGTCAGTGCTGCCAAGTTGCAGGGACAAGATGAGGTGCCACAGCTCCGACGGAATCTTGTATGCGAAGTCCTTGGAGCAGAGGTCAGCAACGGGTGGAATTGCTTTGGCCTCCTGTGTTGCACAGTTGCTTCTTCCGTTTTGTTGTACACCTGCGCCTTAACTAAGTCCACACGAGTCCACCTTCAATTGCGCGGTCCCGCCATCTCACTAAATCTACTTCGTTCACAGCTCTTGAGTAAGAGCATGCATGCTCCTGCACAGCTCGTTAGCTCTGTGCTTGGTGCTCTGGATTTGAGAATGGAGGAATTAGTCCTGCTCTTCCCACAACGCAGGCTAGCAGCTGGCCTCTGCATTGAAGCAACAAAAAACGCGAACAACACACACATCCAAAATGCTCCCGAGCTCGCACAATAGGGCAGCAGCATCAGTGGATTCGCACATTTCGCAGCAGCTCTAAAATGCTTTGCGGCTCCTCATGAAGCAAGGCCGAGGTGCTTCACATTGAGCCAGGGCATCGCTTCGCTTGTCGACGAGCTTCACAAGCGCTGAAAGCTCTGTGGCATCAGATGGCCGGTCTGTAGAGCTCGACGACCGCCCGCGCCGCCTCAAAGATGTAAAGTAGACACTAATTCCAACTCGGATCGGGCTAACACGACAAGCGCTGGCCTCTTCAGTGCCGCACGCTGCTCCGCGAGGTCCGCGTCGAAGCGTGAAAGGCACTTCAGCGCCACATCCAAGGCCGCACGCCTTGGCTTGAGCGCACACGCGTCATTCCGTCACATGGCGTGCTTTCTCGCCCAGATGTGGGATCTGCGCGGTGGCATCTGTGGATTTGTGAGGATCTGTGGAGGATTGTGCTCAAGATCAAGATCGTGAGCCCAGCCACAGCTCCGGGTCGTCGACTTTGCCCGCAAGCGCGGCCTCCAGCGCCTGGATCGCCGCCGCGGCCCCAGGGGCAGCCGCCGCCTGACGCCAGAACCCTCTACGTGGCAACGAGATGCCTCACAAGCAGCCAGAGCACTGAACGGTCTCAGCTCGTACGGATGCACTTCAACGAAAGCTGGTGTTGTGATAAGTTGTGATGCTACCCTTCAAGTCCCTTCACTCCCAACCTCCAAAGCTGGCACCCAAACATCCCCAAAAGCCTCCTCGGTGCCCTCTTGGAGCAGCGCTGCTGTCTCGTCAAGTGACTTGAAGGACTCCTCCAACAGCCGGCACTGTGCCTTGGACATTGCCAAATACCAGGCAACACATGCTTCCCATATGTGGCGGCTTCTTTGCCATGATTCGACGAATCTTAGTCCTTGCAAGCCAAGGGTCCTCGAGCTCATCGTAGGCTGCACGCTGGTCCTCTGACCAGCCCTCTGCAGACGCCACCTCGTGATTAGGATGCGGGAGGGCGGAGGGAGTGAGGAGGTGTGGGGAGGAAGGAGTGGGGAGGAGGAGGGAGGAGGAGGGAGGAGGAGGGAGGAGGAGGAGGGAGGAGGAGGGAGGAGGGAGGCGGGAGGAGGGAGGGAGGAGAGGAGGGAGGAGGAGGAGGAGGGAGAGGAGGAGAGGAGGGAGGAGGGAGGAGGAGGAGGGAGGAGGGAGGAGGAGGGAGGAGGAGGGAGGAGGAGGAGGGAGGAGGAGGGAGGAGGAGGGAGGAGGAGGGAGGAGGAGGGAGGAGGAGGGAAGGGGGGGGGGAGTGGGGAGGAGGAGGGATGGGGGGTCCAGGGTCCTGGCTATGTTGGAAGAAATCCCCCCCCGGCTTTAAGCAACCTAGCTGCTTATAAGCAACGTGTTGTGTGACAAAACTCTTTCCAACAAAGATTGAGTGCACAGACGTACCCATTCGTATTTAAAACGAACACACAGTATAAATACGTACGGTATGTGAATCCAATACTATGACTCCTCAACCGCTTGGATTCTAAAAACCTAGATTACGAACTCGAAGGCACATCTAACCCTCACCCTCTGCGCATGGAAATCTCAAACCCTCACCCTCCGAAGGTTCAGACGCCACGACTCCAGAACGACTTGGATTTAACAAGTCTATATTGCAGGCTTAGAGATATCGAAACCCTCACAAACCGGAGCTGGGCTCTCCGAGGGAAGGCACCATAGATCTAGACACACTAGAGAAAGGTGCCTGAAGCAGCTGCTGCAGCTCCTGCCGGCAGCGCCTGCGTTCGGCAGCCAGTGCCTCCAGGGCACCTCGAGGGGCGGGTTTGGGGCCCTTTCCAGGCCCCGTTACAGTGCTTCATGGGACGGTTTGGCGGTTTGAGGTCGAGGGGGCAACCTGCCAGTCCACTCACATCGGCTGGGCACTTTTTCGTGGCAAAACGCAAGTAGGCCAACCTTGATCAGTTTGAGTTACAGCTAGCAGCTACTGGTAGTTGCAAGATTGCGAAAGCTTGCGCCAGGCTACCATGATTCAACAAGGCGTGCTCGGCAAGCAGCACGTCATCCGCCTGCCCGCTTGCATTCACTTGCGACATGTCAAGAACTTCAGGAACTGCTCTCACGGAGGTCCTGTAAATACTGTGGGCATGTGTGTAAGATGCGTGTGTATATATGTATATTAGTATGCATAATGATACACATATGTATGTATGTAATGTAGCATAAAGACCAAAGATCGTGAACATCACAAGATGCGAGAGCAACTAAGATGTCCCACCTGACCACTCCGCTTCTGCTGTTCCAGGCGTCGCAGTGACTTTTGCTGGGCTCGAAGCTGTGCCTGGATGCATCTGAAACATGAGCATCTGGCATCACGGGATGGCTCATGATGCTCATGGCTCATCGATTTCATGGTTCTTGGGCCGTGCCCCAGACCTCCAGGCCAGCCAGGCGTTGCGCTGCCTCCCCCAGTGACGCAGGCCGGGCAGCCTGAAGGAGAACCAACAGAACTCGTCTGAAACCGAGAGTCTTGTCAAATCTGAGGTTCGAGCGTCAGTCGAGACAGATGGGTCCTGGGTAGATGTGCCGTTTAACGGCACATCTACGAGAGATATTGCGAACCTCAAGTCCTGACAAGTGGTGCTGTGCACTGGTTGCTGCCTAAGGTTGCTGCCGCAGCGGCAGTCCACGCTGAGCGACCAAGTCCCCTGAAAAAGGATTGCTCATGACATCGGTTCAAGCTCTGCAGCTCGACTTCGAAGGCCTCTGGGCTCGCTGTAAAAGCTGAGCGTCATCGCTGGGGCCTGTGGCCTGAACCCAGGGAAGATAGACCAAGCAAGTTGCACGGCAGTCTGCTTGAAGCCATTTAGACTCTAGACAACACACAGTAGGACATTGCGAGAGTAGGAGCCTGCTGCCGTAGCAGAGCAAACTGAGGGTGCTGCGGCTTCGCCCCAAGCGGAGACGGCAGACGCCCTGTCGCTACGTGCCCATTGCTAAATGCCACTGCGGATGCAAGGCAACGTAGGCGTGCAATGGCGCAGCTACTGAAGCTATCACCAGGCTGCTGGGCCTCAGCGCCTGCTCTTCCAGGGAGCTGTCTTCGTCGCTGGCCTGCAGGCGGGCAATGCATGTCAAATCTTAGGTTTGATGCGAGATGCGGCCGGTGACAGGACCTCACAACCCTCAAATACATTCAAAAAGTGCTCAAGGCGCTTGCGGCTCCGGTGCCTCGTCGCCCCCCGAGCGCCCGCGCCCGCGCCGTCGGGGCTTCAACCCGAGCCGCTGGCGCTCCGCCTCCTGTCGAGGATTGCATTGCGCATTCATACCATCATATACGATGCTTTTGCCACGCTTTCGCAACGGAATGACGCAAGACACTCTCGGTCCATACCGGCTGCAGAAAATACTACTACATTGAAGCGATGCTGCGCTGACGACTTGTTGGTGCAGTCGAGAGCTCCCAGTACATGCTCCCCGTGCCCATCATCGGTGATACAGGCCCTGTCTCAAGCTTGAACTGGCCGGACGTCACACGAAGCCCTCACCCCCAACAGGTCGGCCAAAGTCCTCGGCCAGCTGAGCCAGACCTTATTCCGAGCAACACAGTCGGTGCAGTCTGGAGCTGGCGAGGGGAGCAGAACAAGAGCAGAAAGCTCTGGGGCCACTAGCCCTGGCTAGCCTACAAATGACTTGGGATGGGCTCGGTTGGAGGTGCTGAGGTTTGGTCAGGTTCGCTGCTGAGCCGGGCCACGTCGCCGGGCTTCCAGGAGGGCCGCCGACGGGTCCACCTGAGGCCAAAACAGGCCAGACAACGGACATCTGAACCTTTTAAATTCCTTTCATCTCCTTATAAAGCCTGCCCCTTTCCCCATCGCCGAGGCCCGCGCAGCCTCCCCGCGCCCGACGAGCAACCTGATCAGCCGAAGCGTGCTTGGGTTTGAGAATTTCGGGAAATTTGACGCTGTCCATGTTGCACTGTTGCACTACCAGAGGCCCGCCAACATTGCAGCTGATGCCTGATGATGCTTGGACGCTTCTGGATGCTTCCGGCAAGGAGCCTCCGGCGCTGCCTTGCTGCTTCATTTTCGGACAAGTCCTGCCCATGCGTACGATTGGAACGTCGGGTGCTGCAAGTTGCCCAAACAGCCAAGCACTTCGCCCAACAAGCGCTGCCGACTTCAGCTGCCAGGGGGCCAACTAGCTTACGAAATCTTGCCTGACTTGACATTCAGTGGCACGTTGAGGTGCCCTAGTTACGTGCTTCATCGGACGCGTCACATTCTGCAGCTATTCTGGGCAGAACGTCAGGAGGAGGAGGCCGTTGTCCTCGGTCTCGTCATCACCCCCGGGTCGCATCGCCAAGCGCTCCAGGCCGTCGGTCAGCTTTCCCTGCCACCTGCAGAGCAAGCGTGGAATTTCGAAGTTGCAATTGTCTGAGCATTGCCAGCACTAGCACCTGAACTCTGCCGCCGAAGGGGTGCAGCTCATCAAGCGTGAACACACTGAAAGCCAGGCCACATGGACAAGACGAGGTTCCAGGCTTGCGCAGGCATCTTCTGGGCAAAGTCCTCCACTGACAGGTGCACCGAACGGGAAACTTACACTGTCTCGCTTGGGGGGGGGGGGCCAGGGACCAGCGTCCGACCGGCATCTTGCCGTGTTCGGGCGCGGCTACCAGTTGCTTCGACCGTCTACGTGAACAGGCACTATACGCTCAAACACTGCAGCAATAGAGCCATGGGCCGACTATGGCCTACTCCATGCGGCTTCGGCACCTGGCACTGCGCGACAGCTTGCCCACGCTCCACGACAAGTGCAGTGAGCGTGGCGTCGTCCGCCATGGCCCCGGGCTCCTTCTTCCGACGCCTCTGCAGGCCACAACTTGGGGTAGATCTGGGTTGATCTGGGTGGGTCCGGGCAGGCTGGTTAGGCAGTCCCGCGGTCCGGTACGTTATGGTACGGTTGTGGTCTTCGATTGCTTGGGCTTTTTAGGCGGAAGGGTGACGGGCGGACCCAAAAACCAAGAGTGGCGTATAGACCTAATATGGAGTAGGTGGAATGGCAGGCGTGGCGCCGCTTCAGTGCGGCGCGCTGCTTCTCCAAATCATGGTCGAAGTTGGCCATGCGTCGGAGGGCTTCCGACAAGGCTGCCCGCCTGAGATCTCACGCGCGCGCACGCATAGTCATGCGAAGCTTGCCCGCATGCTCTTCCAGCCATGGCCAGCCACGTCCAGCCATGTCCCAGCCGAGCCACAGCTCCGGGTCGCTGGCACGCAGGGCCGCTGCGACCAGGGCTCCAGTCGTCGACGACGCTCCTCCGGAGCCCAAGGCCTGCCGAGAGCAATTCCGCTATACAAAGCATGCCCTGCAGTACACTCAGACACGCGCATTGACCGTGAACAGAACAAGAAAAAAAGAATACACAAGAAACGCAAGGGAAACCAAGACACCTGCTCAGCATCCTCTTTGAGGAGGGAAGCTTGCTCTGTGCAGAAGCGAAGGGAGTTCTCCAGGTCCTGGCAGCGTGCCTCAGAGCGGGAGCCGCGCAAGAGCCGATCACAACTGTACACTCCCATTGCCCCCGCCCTGACCTTGACCTGAATTTCGTGCTTTCAAGCCCGACTGCGGCGCCAACATGAACCAAACAACAAAAGCTCGCACGATCTCGCACAGAACTCGAACTGCTTGTGCCAGTATATGCCAGGCGTCCGCCAGCTTCTCGCAGGCTGCCAGCTGTTCCTGCGACCAGCCATCTGCGTATCCAGCCTGCCGGCGTGTGCGTGTGCGCGACAGCCGGTTTGCAAAGGTTCTACTTGCTTCACGATTATTTGTGCAGAGGGCCATGCCCCTTGTCATTGGTGGATGGGCAACCATGAGGCCAATGCCAAGAGCTGTAAACGCGTACTTGCTTCAATTACCTTCGAACTTTTGTCTATGCTGCACATGCAGTTGCAAGGTGCGATGCGCGGTCCATGTCTGCAGCAGGTTGATGTGCAGAACATGCCGTTGCAAGCAGACGGAGAGAGATTGCGCATGATCAACTAACCCTTTCGGGGTCCTGACAGCTCAGCTAAGTGCGTTTCCCGACCGGAGTCAAAGACATCCTAATGTCATAGAACACGAGCCAATGCGAGCTGGCTGCCACATGCACCCTGACGTTGAACGATCTGCTGGTCGCTGGCTGTCACTGGATGTCACCTACCGGATGTCACTCGATGATACTGGATGTCGCCCGGGGCCTCCAGTAGCTCTTGGAGCTCCTTTCGGCAGGCGTCGCGCGCAGCTGCCAGGTTCGCCACTTGGCCTGCTCGCGATTCACCCACCCAGAGATTTCGTTTTGCTAGGGCTCGAGTAGCTCCCACTCAGGGCGAAATCTGGCAGGCTGCTTGTTGGAGACTACGGCTCGATGCAATACGCACCAATGCCAAGGCACTTTGGTGCAGCAAGGCATGCCCGACCAGCAGCGCGCCGCCATCCTTGAGTCAAGGGCTGAAGTGCACGCATTGCTTGGTGAGAGCTGCCACATAGTCGAGACGCACATGCGGATGTCATCGATGCAGCGATAGCCATGGATACCCAAATGGATGGGTTGATTCTTCTGTGTGTGGGCGTGCAGCTGACTACGAATTACAGTGCATCTCACTGCTGTTGCAGAACCTGCACTGGCTTCATAAGCACGCCCGTCCTCTCCCTGCTCCATCTGGCGGCTTCGCGCTAGGTCTTGGCGTTGCAACTCAAGCTCCTCCTGCGCAGGGGGCATCGTTCATGAGGGAGCTATGCCGGATACGTCCAAGACTCTTTCCCACATCTGCGACTCATCAGAAGGTTGCAGGGTTTTTCTTTGCGCCTCCAGCTTCGCCAGGTGCCGCGATGCGAGCGCCAGCTTGCCGGGGCCGCTGGCCTCGCAGAGGGATGCAGAGATGCAGGGGCGCGTGGACAACTTGACAACCGGCTGCAAAGGGGAGTGCCACCCACCGAGGCCTCATATTGCATGCTCACGGTAGGGCCGAGTGTAGCAAGGTGCTAAAGAGGTCACTTGTGCTTTGGTTGTTCCTGGATTCCGAAGGAATCGAGAAACAAAACCTGCTTCCGCGGACACCTTCCGCTGGCCTTCCGCGGAACGAAGACCAGAATCCCACTCCAACATGTTTTACAACTTGCTTCCAGGAGCATCTTGGCATCAAATAGAACGGTTGCTTCCGCGAACAGCGCTTGAAGTCGAGGGATGTGTTGAAACGCCCTTCTGAATCCTGAGGTCTGGTGCTTTGTGAGTAGCTCAGGACCTGGAGTAAGAGCCGATGACCACAGCCCCAGACGTACAAGATTTCGCACTGGAGCTTCCGCGAGCTTCCGCGTGCACAAGCTTGCGTCCACGTGCGCAGCACAACGCTCATTTCGGACCGCCATGCAGGCACCATTGCCATATACTTGACTGACTTTCACACGCTCGGACAGAAAGCACGCTGAGGGTGCTGCGGCTTCGCCCCATGCGGAGACGGCAGACGCCCTGCCACACTAGCCAACAGCAGCAGTGTTGGAGCAGCCGTACTGGCGGCACCGTGTCGACAGTCGGCTTCCATGTCGAGCATGTGCTTGTTTAAAATCGTTACTTCTCGTTATGTGTCGTTTGCGGGCCATTGTAAGTGTTGTCACCACGCTGCTGGGCCTCAGCGCCTGCTCTTCCAGGGAGCTGTCTTCGTCGCTGGCCTGCAGGCGGGCAATGCATGTCAAATCTTAGGTTTGATGCGAGATGCGGCCGGTGACAGGACCTCACAACCCTCAAATACATTCAAAAAGTGCTCAAGGCGCTTGCGGCTCCGGTGCCTCGTCGCCCCCCGAGCGCCCGCGCCCGCGCCGTCGGGGCTTCAACCCGAGCCGCTGGCGCTCCGCCTCCTGTCGAGGATTGCATTGCGCATTCATACCATCATATACGATGCTTTTGCCACGCTTTCGCAACGGAATGACGCAAGACACTCTCGGTCCATACCGGCTGCAGAAAATACTACTACATTGAAGCGATGCTGCGCTGACGACTTGTTGGTGCAGTCGAGAGCTCCCAGTACATGCTCCCCGTGCCCATCATCGGTGATACAGGCCCTGTCTCAAGCTTGAACCGGCCGGACGTCACACGAAGCCCTCACCCTCAACAGGTCGGCCAAAGTCCTCGGCCAGCTGAGCCAGACCTTATTCCGAGCAACACAGCCGGCGCAGTCTGGAGCTGGCGAGGGGAGCAGAACAAGAGCAGAAAGCTCTGGGGCCCTTAGCCCTGGCTAGCCGACAAATGACTTGGGATGGGCTCGGTTGGAGGTGCTAAGGTTTGGTCAGGTTCGCTGCTGAGCCGGGCCACGTCGCCGGGCTTCCAGGAGGGCCGCCGACGGGTCCACCTGAGGCCAAAATAGGCAAGACAACGGACATCTGAACCTTTTAAATATCTCCTTATAAAGCCTGCCCATTTCCCAGTAGCCGAGGCCCGCGCAGCCTCCCCGCGCCCGACGAGCAACCTGATCAGCCGAGAGAATTTCGGGTAATTTGACACCTTTCTCTTGCTGACGCTGTCCATGTTGCACTGTTGCACTACCAGAGGCCCGCCAACATTGCAGCTGATGCCTGATGATGCTTGGACGCTTCTGGATGCTTCCGGCAAGGAGCCTCCGGCGCTGCCTTGCTGCTTCATTTTCGGACAAGTCCTGCCCATGCGTACGATTGGAACGTCGGGTGCTGCAAGTTGCCCAAACAGCCAAGCACTTCGCCCAACAAGCGCTGCCGACTTCAGCTGCCAGGGGGCCAACTAGCTTACGAAATCTTGCCTGACTTGACATTCAGTGGCACGTTGAGGTGCCCTAGTTACGTGCTTCATCGGACGCGTCACATTCTGCAGCTATTCTGGGCAGAACGTCAGGAGGAGGAGGCCGTTGTCCTCGGTCTCGTCATCACCCCCGGGTCGCATCGCCAAGCGCTCCAGGCCGTCGGTCAGCTTTCCCTGCCACCTGCAGAGCAAGCGTGGAATTTCGAAGTTGCAATTGTCTGAGCATTGCCAGCACTAGCACCTGAACTCTGCCGCCGAAGGGGTGCAGCTCATCAAGCGTGAACACACTGAAAGCCAGGCCACATGGACAAGACGAGGTTCCAGGCTTGCGCAGGCATCTTCTGGGCAAAGTCCTCCACTGACAGGTGCACCGAACGGGAAACTTACACTGTCTCGCTTGGGGGGGGGGGGCCAGGGACCAGCGTCCGACCGGCATCTTGCCGTGTTCGGGCGCGGCTACCAGTTGCTTCGACCGTCTACGTGAACAGGCACTATACGCTCAAACACTGCAGCAATAGAGCCATGGGCCGACTATGGCCTACTCCATGCGGCTTCGGCACCTGGCACTGCGCGACAGCTTGCCCACGCTCCACGACAAGTGCAGTGAGCGTGGCGTCGTCCGCCATGGCCCCGGGCTCCTTCTTCCGACGCCTCTGCAGGCCACAACTTGGGGTAGATCTGGGTTGATCTGGGTGGGTCCGGGCAGGCTGGTTAGGCAGTCCCGCGGTCCGGTACGTTATGGTACGGTTGTGGTCTTCGATTGCTTGGGCTTTTTAAGCGGAAGGGTGACGGGCGGACCCAAAAACCAAGAGTGGCGTATAGACCTAATATGGAGTATGTGGAATGGCAGGCGTGGCGCCGCTTCAGTGCCGCACGCTGCTTCTCCAAATCATGGTCGAAGTTGGCCATGCGTCGGAGGGCTTCCGACAAGGCTGCTCGCCTGAGATCTCACGCACGCGCGCACTTAGTCATGCGAAGCTTGCCCGCACACTCTTCCAGCCATGGCCACGTCCAGCCATGTCCCAGCCGAGCCACAGCTCCGGGTCGCTGGCACGCAGGGCCGCTGCGACCAGGGCTCCAGTCGTCGACGACGCTCCTCCGGAGCCCAAGGCCTGCCGAGAGCAATTCCGCTATACAAAGCATGCCCTCCAGTACACTCACAAGAATACACAAGAAACGCAAGAAACGCAAGAAACCAAGACACCTGCTCAGCATCCTCTTTGAGGAGGGAAGCTTGCTCTGTGCAGAAGCGAAGGGAGTTCTCCAGGTCCTGGCAGCGTGCCTCAGAGCGGGAGCCGCGCAAGAGCCGATCACAACTGTACACTCCCATTGTCCCCGCCCTGACCTTGACCTGAATTTCGCGCTTTCAAGCCCGACTGCGGCGCCAACATGAACCAAACAACAAAAGCTCGCACGATCTCGCACAGAACTCGAACTGCTCGTGCCAGTATATGCCAGGCGTCCGCCAGCTTCTCGCAGGCTGCCAGCTGTTCCTGCGACCAGCCATCTGCGTATCCAGCCTGCCGGCGTGTGCGTGTGCGCGACAGCCGGTTTGCAAAGGTTCTACTTGCTTCACGGTTATTTGTGCAGAGGGCCATGCCCCTTGTCACTGGTGGATGGGCAACCATGAGGCCAATGCCAAGAGCTGTAAACGCGTACTTGCTTCAATTACCTTCGAACTTTTGTCTATGCTGCACATGCAGTTGCAAGGTGCGATGCGCGGTCCATGTCTGCAGCAGGTTGATGTGCAGAACATGCCGTTGCAAGCAGACGGAGAGAGATTGCGCATGATCAACTAACCCTTTCGGGGTCCTGACAGCTCAGCTAAGTGCGTTTCCCGACCGGAGTCAAAGACATCCTACTGTCATAGAACACGAGCCAATGAGAGCTGGCTGCCACATGCACCCTGACGTTGAACGATCTGCTGGTCGCTGGCTGTCACCGGATGTCACCCGGATGTCACCCGATAATACTGGATGTCGCCCGGGGCCTCCAGTAGCTCTTGGAGCTCCTTTCGGCAGGCGTCTCGCGCAGCTGCCAGGTTCGCCACTTGGCCTGCTCGCGATTCACCCACCCAAAGATTTCGGTTTGCTGGGGCTCGAGTAGTCCCACTCAGGTCGACATCTGGCGCCTGCTACCGCACGATGCAATACGCACCAATGCCAAGGCACTTTGGTGCAGCAAGGCATGCCCGACCAGCAGCGCGCCGCCATCCTTGAGTCAAGGGCTGAAGTGCACGCATTGCTTGGTGAGAGCTGCCACATAGTCGAGAAGCACATGCGGATGTCATCGATGCAGCGATAGCCATGGATACCCAAATGGATGGATTGATTCTTCTGTGTGGGCGTGCAGCTGACTACGAATTACAGTGCATCTCACTGCTGCTGCAGAACCTGCACTGGCTTCATAAGCACGCCCGTCCTCTCCCTGCTCCATCTGGCGGCTTCGCGCTAGGTCTTGGCGTTGCAACTCAAGCTCCTCCTGCGCAGGGGGCATCGTTCATGAGGGAGCTATGCCGGATACGTCCAAGACTCTTTCCCACGTCTGCGACTCAAGGTCGCAGGGTTTTTCTTTGCGCCTCCAGCTTCGCCAGGTGCCGCGATGCGAGCGCCAGCTTGCCGGGGCCGCTGGCCTCGCAGAGGGATGCAGAGATGCAGGGGCGCGTGGACAACTTGACAACCGGCTGCAAAGGGGAGTGCGAACCGTCGAGGCCACCTCATGCTCTCCCCAAGCAGGCTGTGACGGCAGATGCGGGTTTGGCGAGCTCCTGCACTCTCTGTGCTTGGGTGCTTCTTGGGGTCAATGTCGTGGCAGTGGCAGGGGCCATGCGACACGGACTTCTTTGCCATTACTTCATGAAGAGGAGTCTTCGCAGAGGCCTCGGGACGACCAGCACATCAAGAGCCCGCCGAAACGCAATCTTTTTAATTTCGGGGCCAACCCGCCATGGAAAATTCCTCCATCCGGCTCTGTGCAGGCCCTGCAGAGGCCTCTAGGAAGCTTGCTGCTAGGATCCTACCCGATATGTCTCGGCCAGAGCCAACTTTGGTTGAAAGACAAACCAGAGTAGACAGAGTGAACACAAAATGCAAGACCAGGTAAAAGCTTCAACCCCCCCCCCTGGAGGCTCCAGAAAGCTTCTAAATGATAAATGATTATGGAGGCTCAGCGGGCCCTGATTGGGAACCCAACGACTGTTGTTCACGACCGAACTTTTGTTCTGGGGACGTCGCAGCAGCACATTGATGACCCTACATTTAACAACATACAAGCCGTCCTGCGCGCACTCTTTCCGTAGTTGCTGTGCTGCTGGCTGCCCTGCTCCAGGTAGCAGCTGAGTGAAAGCACAGGAGCTAGGCGCCCGTAGCTGAAGCAGCTGAAAGTGCAATCTGGGGCGCCTCGGCATCCTCGCCAGCTGACAGCCCCTGAGAGGCACACGACCGGAAGTGCATCGGTGAGCTCTTCGATTTTGGGGCTCAAGCTCAGTGGAACCTCTGCACGCAGCCTGTAACTGCATGGGCGCTATCTTTGGGTAAACATTTTGGGAGGTGATAAGGACCTAAGGCGGGATGACAACGCACCACTAGAACCACCCCGTGGCAAAGAATGGGCCCCAAAAGTCTGTGCTAGACAGACCCCTAGACTCGCACAAGAAGAATCCATCTCCCTGTCCCTGTCGGTTTTCCCGTCGCATCCCCCTACATTTTGCAAATCTGAATACTGGGGCCGCGGACGGTTCTGTTGCCACGGCGCTCACCTCAAGATATTGATGGAGACTGATGCCGATCTCTTTTGACCCAGCATCCGAAGCCAGCATGCTAATCTTCCACAAAGAGGGGGGGGGGAGGGTGGGGGCGAGGGGAGGCCTCTCTCTAAAGACAAAGACAAGTTTCTCCGATTATCACTTGGGGTCGCCAGGCCCCAGGGCTTCGAATTGGCAGATAAATGAACGCCACTAAAAAAGCCCCTTTATGGTATGTCAAACCCCTTTCATGTCACAACCTGGTTTTGTGCAGAGGCATGGGTGGCAGGGCCCCCATAGAATGAAATGGAGTCCAACACGACCAGAGACTCAGACTCTGGAATGGAGGAATCGAGCTAAACCCTAAACCCTAAACCCTAAACCCTAAACCCTATAAACCCTAAACCCTAAACTTACCCTATACCCTAAACCTGGGAGGTGCCTGCATCTTCATCTTCAGCTCCTTGAAGTGCCAAAGCCGCAGAATCCGCTGTGGCGTTTGATGCAGCCTGTGCCTGGCAGGTCAGCTGGCATTCCCTGAACAAGCCCAGAGAGCTTTCTGCCACCAGAAGACTGTGTCGCCGCATGCGGTGTGGTATTTAAGGATGTGAATCTGAAGATGACACATGTCCTCTGATAAGGCATCTACCTCTGCCACATCCTTTCGCAGCTGGCGCCAGAGCCCCTGCAAGGCAGACCATTCCTGTTGCGCGTGAAAAGGTAGGACAAGCTAGGGAGGCTAGAGAAAGGCATCCGTTTCACCGCTTTGTTCAGGTGGTGTTGGCACATGCATCGGTGCGGAGCTTAGAAAAAATCACGAAGAAGCTCAGCTGTGGACTGTCAAGGCGATCCTTTTCTTGCCGACTAGAGCAGAGCGCATTGTCACACCAACCGCTGCTGGTACAGTGCCAGTAGTGCCGCACTTTGTTCAAATGCAGCAGCTGCACGTCCATGCAGTGCCACAGCAGACTTGAATCTTGAAGAGATATGCACGTCTGGTGCACCAAGCTAGCCAGGCACTTGCGTATCTTCCGAGCGGTCGAGCGTGCACAATTCACAGCTGCAGATTGTCCTCTTGCTGTATGGAATCTGAGTGCCGACTGGCTCTACACTTGTTCCAAGTTCAAGACTGCTCACAAGAACCTATTTGACTGACATCAGCTGAAGAATGCTGAAGATAACAAGATTCTTAGGCACCCACATTCCCATCAGCCCGGACGTCTAAGGCATTTGGCACGTCAGGTCACTTCATAAACTGCGAAGCCGAATCGATCCAAATGCCAGTATTGAAGCAGCGTCGCGCCCTTTTCAAAGGACACATAGCTTGCGAAACCAATGACTCGTACTGGCCATAACATAGAGAAAGCAACGACGCTGCGATATGAGGCATTCTAGACATGACTGAGCATGAGATTTCAGGCAGCTGTCTGTCCAAACCCTAAACGGGGAAAGCTGCGGCATCCAGCCGGTGCTGCTGAGCAGAGCCCTAGCAGCCAAGTGGCACAATGTTGCAAAAGCTACGCCTACGTTCCGGCTCAGCCTACCTGGGTTGGGACCACACCTCCTGCGGAGATGCACTCCGGAATGCTAGCACATGAGATGGGAACGTGTAGTAATGTGTAGTGTAGTAATTCTTGGTTGGTTTGCTGCAGTGCCAAGGTGCTGAAGCAGGCACTGGCTCAGGGACAGCACCTCCGATTCTATGTCTCTCGCGGGAGCGATTGTGGAGTAGAGGCCGTAGTGCGAGTCCTTGCGCATGCCCTTTCCTGATCTCGTTTAGCATCTGGAACAGCTCCCTTCAACTAGAACAAACAATTTCTCATGTGCAACGTCCTGACTATGGCCAATATGATGACACCTACAAGCATCAAGATGTCCCGCCAAGCCGATGTGCAAACTGCCCGATATCCATTACTATTCACAGGGGCAAAAGGTTCCAGTCCTTTTCTTACTGAGGACAAGCACCGGCCAAAACAAACTGCTCATTGGCAGGGCGCCAGGGCGGCAGGCCGAGGCACATGACAATTCCGATGTTGGGAGGGCGGGTGCGACACACATGACACACGTGGCCCAGGGTACCCCGTGTACTGGGTTCTACTGGCAGAAGCCACGCCTTGAAGGGGGACAAGATTTCCGCTGGCAGCAAGAGTTCTAGTCAACTTCCTTCCTCCCTCCGCAGATGCAAATGTCCTGCACTTTGTGCAGAGATGCAAGCAGCTGTCGGCCCTTGGGTCGCTGATAGTACTGAACAAATAGCACAGATAGTACCAGTACAGCTGCACCAACAAACACAAATGAAAGCACGGGCCACCCAAGCTCCAGGCCATGACCTGTGAAAGTCAAGCCTTGCAAGTGGTCCTCCCAAGCGGTCCTACCACCCGTGCTCTTGCATTGGTAGCTGGCTCAATGTGGAAACCAGCCCGAGGCCATCTCGCAAGGTAAATGCGGCATACATGCGGCCTTCTCACCCTCCGTCATTACGTTATTCACGTTGCCGCTGCTACTCTGGATGGAGGAAATCCTGCATCGCCTTACGGAGGCACACGTCAACTTCACCCCATGTCTCAGCATTGCCTTAGATTAGATGGTCGAGTTCTACGACGTCTTCCATCCCCTCCGCAGGAAATAATTAGCAGCCAGTCTTGTATACAAATAGCTGCATGGGATGCTACGGAAGCATCTCAAGCAGATTCTGGAGGGCAGCACTGCTTGTGAGCCTGTTGCAGAAAAGGTGGCCGTCGCCACATGAATTTGAGTGCTTCCTTGAAGCCATTTGGTTCTCCTTTTCCAAGCTCAAGGACAACTGCTCCAGCTCTTGCAGAGCGTCCCTGCTGCAGTTGGCACCCGTAAACCCTGATGAAGCAACACCGATGCCATGAAGCGAACAAGACGCATGACTTTAGGGACCCTAACGACGGAAGTCGTACGGGAAGGGCAGCAGGATTGCGAAGACTACAGCCTCCGTCTGCGCGGCCTCGAGAGCCATTCAGCTGTCTCGAGTTCCCGACTGTGAAATGGACGTGACCGTCGACTCAGAAGGCCAAGCATCCTGTCATAATTTAGAGCGAATCACAAGCAACTCACAGAGCAAGTCAGGAAAGTACACTGTGCACTGTTACGAGTTCACCCTCAGCACGGCCTTGCCACTCTTGGCCAGGCGATGCCGACGGCTTTCCGGATCAGGAACATCCGGAATTTCTGCGACCTCGGGCAGTGCAGAAGATTGTAGGATCTGCTCTGAGTTCACAACCTCCCAATCACCAAGGAGCAGGGGCATACCCTAAACTTTGCTTCTGAAGCCCGGCAGCCCCCAATAAACCCGACAACCTCCAAAACCCCAAGCTCTGAGCCCGAAACGCGCCGACCACTTTTAAACATGAAAGCCCGACCGGAAACTGCAAAAATCCTGTCAGCCCCAGCAGCCTAAAAGCCAAGAAGCTCAAACCGGCTCGACCGAAAGTCCGATTCAGGAAGGCCCGAAAGGCTCCACAAAGTCCGCAGAACCCAACAACCACAAGCCTAAAGTCCCTAAGATCCGAACCCCTACGCCCCAAACCCCCAAACCCCCGGAAACCCCCAGCAACCCTTTGAAACGATCTCCAGGCACCCTAAACCCTCAACCCTAAACCCCAACACGGGCCCCAGCCGGCGGAGAGTAGAACTTGAGGCCGGGTTGAAGGGTCAGTGGCTCGGACCTGAAGCCTGGACGCCGCTCCTGCCCAGCGAAGGCAGGAAAAAACAAAACGGCCTGTGCCAAATTTGTTGTGTTTTTATATATGCGTATATATGTATATATATATATATATATATATATATAAGCTCGCCCCCCCTCCCAAGATCCACCCTTCGAGTGCTCGTAGTCTTGACTTTCCTGACGTCTACTGTCGGGTTAAGGTTTAAAGGTTTAGGGTTTTAAGATTTAGGCATTTAAACATAAGCCGACAATTGCACCTAAGCCCTTCACCTGTAAAACCCAATGGGGTTAAGGTTTAAAGGTTTAGGGTTTCAGATTCAGGCACTTTAACCTAAGCCCATAGAGTTTAAACCGCAAGGGTTTAAGGTTCAGGCATTTAAGATATGTATGAGTTGGTAGCTGAACCTTTGCTGGAAGGAGTTTTTGTCACACAACGCATTGCTTATAAGCAATAAGTTTGCTTATAACAGGGGCCAGGGGGGGCGGGGGGGTCAGGGGTGACCCCTGAACACCCCCCACACCCTGCCCCCTTGCTGCGCTCCTGTTTTTGTTTCAAGGCTTACTTTCTTAAATAGTACCCTAGTGGTTAAGGTTGTAGGGCTTTCAAGGGCAGGGTTTAGCAATTAAGCCTCACCCCTTGACCTTTAAAAACTCTATAGGGTTAAGGTTGACAGTTTTGTAGGTTAAGATTTAGACATTCAAACCCAAGCGGGCAATTAAAGCTTAATTCCTAACTTTTAAGCCCTATAGAGCTAAGGGCTTAGGCATTTTACGCCTAAACCCATAGAGTAAGTTGTTTTAAGGGTCTGAAGGGCGCTGAAGGTACACACGCCCAGACCTTAGATTTTTACTAGTAAACCCTATAGGGTTTAAAGGTGCAGGGTTTAAGGTTTGAGCATGACCTATAACATTAGAAGCTTATAGCCCTATGGGGCTTGAGGCTTCAGGTATGCCTATGTTTGTAGGGCTTGCACCCCGGGGGACGCGAGAATACTGTGAGCAAATGTCCTTTCACTACATCCTGGAATTCTCAAGATATAAACAAACCAACCGACATTGGATAGAATTCAGGTGTTGCTTATCGGGAGATGATTGCCTGAGATATCTTAGCTATGGTATAGTTTTTAGGATAGTGTTCTGTTTTGCTTATTGGGGTGTGATGGCTTAAGATATGATAGCTACAGTGTTTAATATAATTAGAGGTCAGGTTTTGCTTACGGGGGGATGATGGGTTGAGATATGTTCGCGAAGTTATAATTTTTATGGTTGATTGCTTAAGATACTGCAAGACCTCGAGGAGATATATAGTTCTGGAAAAAATTGGTTTTTGGGGACAGTACAGCACATTATTGGTACCTGCAAGCAAAAAAAAGGGACAGTACAGCACTTCTGCAGTCTCAAGAGGCGAAAGTGCTGTACTGTCCCTATTTTTTGCTTGCAGGTACCAATAAAGTGCCGTACTGTCCCTAAAAAACCTAAAAAACCAATCTTTTGGGAACTACCGGGGGCTCCAGGGCTGGTAGTGCTGGAAAGATTGGTTTTTTAGGTTTTTTAGGGACAGTACAGCACTTTATTGGTACCTGCAAGCAAAAAATAGGGACAGTACGGCACTTCTGCAGTCTGGAGAGGCGAAAGTGCTGTACTGTCCCTATTTTCTCGTCCCCAGGCAAGCAAAAAATAGGGACAGTACAGCACTTCTGCAATCTGAAGAAGCGAAAGTGCTGTACTGTCCCTATTTTTTGCTTGCAGGTACCAATAAAGTGCCGTACTGTCCCTAAAAAACCTAAAAAACCAATCTTTTGGGAACTACCGGGGGCTCCAGGGCTGGTAGTGCTGGAAAGATTGGTTTTTTAGGTTTTTTAGGGACAGTACAGCACTTTATTGGCACCTGCAAGCAAAAAATAGGGACAGTACGGCACTTCTGCAGTCTGGAGAGGCGAAGTGCTGTACTGTCCCTATTTTCTCGTCTCCAGGCAAGCAAAAAATAGGGACAGTACAGCACTTCTGCAGTCTCAAAAGGCGGAAGTGCTGTACTGTCCCTATTTTTTGCTTGCAGGTACCAATAAAGTGCCGTACTGTCCCTAAAAAACCTAAAAAACCAATCTTTTGGGAACTATCGGGGGCTCCAGGGCTGGTAGTGCTGGAAAGATTGGTTTTTTAGGTTTTTTAGGGACAGTACAGCACTTTATTGGTACCTGCAAGCAAAAAAATAGGGACAGTACGGCACTTCTGCAGTCTGGAGAGGCGAAAGTGCTGTACTGTCCCTATTTTCTCGTCCCCAGGCAAGCAAAAAATAGGGACAGTACAGCACTTCTGCAGTCTGGAGAGGCGAAAGTGCTGTACTGTCCCTATTTTTTGCTTGCCAGGCAAGCCAAAAAATAGGGACAGTACAGCACTTCTGCGGTATGGACAGGCGAAAGTCATGTTTCCATTGCTTGGGTTTCAGGCAAGCCATATTCGCATTTCGCAGACACAGAACGAAGTCGGTAACACCAGAAACGAACCACCAGATCCTGGTAGTCCATTTCTGGCATCTGCATGCACACATCGCTGTAAGAAAGAAGTATGAAACAATCGTTTTAACAGGAAAACCCTCGGTATTTGCAGCGTTTTCTGCATCTGCATGTATAAGAAAGAGTACATATATGGAGTGAGGAGATTCTGAACAGCCTTGGGGGTGGATCTTGGGGGGGGGGCGACCATATATATATATATATATATATATATACATATTGTGGCATATATAGAGAGAGACAATTCTAGTTCAGAGCAGAACTGAAATTATAAGGACAATTATGATGATTCTTGTTACATACGTTTGAATCGCGCCCGGATTGGGAAGCAATGAACTGCTATTGCGAGTCGGTCGGAAGCACATCGGACCGATTCAGTTTGGGCCGTCAAGGCGCATCTTTCTCACCTTCCATCCCCTGTTGCATTATCCATCCCCTGTTGCATTACATATTGGGATTAGAGGGCGCTTTGGTTTCTTCAACGAAAGTTCTGGGAGGCTTCCGAGCGCGTTTAGAAGAGGGTTGTTTGGGCTTAGGATGGTTTACGACCCTGCCCGGGGGATTTCGCTTCATGATTTAGGGTTTCCACATGTGCCGAACTGATTTGGTAAGATTACGAGGGCCATGGGGGTACCCTTTGGGGGTCCTTATTTTACGGGAATCCTACTACTTGGGATCTATGTTCGGTGTCCCCTATTTGTGCAACCCCCACATGAGCAGCCCCCTTCCTGAAGCTTGGGCTTGGTGTGAGAGGTCGACTCCGTCTTAGCCGCCGCCATCTTTGCGTCGAGCAGAAGCTGGCGCTTGCCTTCACCAGAGCAGCTTGGCATGTGTCGGCGCGGGGGGCTTTCCGAAGGTTAGGACGGCTAGGGGTCCCTTTCTGCGGTCCTTTCGAGGGGATTCTACGAGAATTAGGGAGTGCACCTTTTTGGAAAATTTCTGGGGCAGCTGTTGGAGAGCTCAGTCAAGCCGTTGCATTGACAAACTGCTGCCAGCCAAGTCACGGGGCGTAAGCAGCGTCGGGAGTTGATCTGCATCCTTCCAAGTCTCACAGCTCAGAGGGAGCATGCTGAACATAAACTTTCCGGACTCTTCAGGGTTCCGGGTACAAAAAAACGAACGCGCCGAGATGACCCAGAGGCTCCGAAGTTGAAATCACTCAACCCTGAACCCTCAACCCTAAACCCTTCAAAAATCGCCTCGGCCGCGATGTCTGGCACGGGAAGTGTTGCCTTGGCCATGGCTCTCGTGGCTTCGCTGCCAAGTGGTGTTCCGGGAGTCGCGGGACCAAAATAGCTGCGGCAAAAGGGCCCCCTGCCCCCTGAAAACCCTGAAAAAAAAGAAACGAAACGTCTTATACGGCCTTAAGCAGCCGACCCCCCTGAAGCCCTAACCATCCCGAAGCCCCGTTTGAAAACCTCAAGAACCCTAAGCTCAAAAAATCCTAGCGGCCCCAAATCAGTCAGACCTGCTGGAAGCTCGAGGGCTCAGAGGGTTTAGGGGTGTTTTGCACTGAAAAAATTACGGAGTTGGGCAGCTCATATCGCCCCTTAATGGTTCCATCTCCCTACTTGCCTACAAAGAGCCGGAGCCCTGGCAGCGCGCCTTGTCGTTACCTTCCCAACCTGCACAAGTGATCCGTGAAAGTCCTTTAACGACCCTGCTGCATGCCTTCTTTGGGGTTTTAGCCCTTGAGAGACGGATTCGCCACGCGGAATCAGCAGGTAATCACCGTCAGATTCAAGATGGGCAACTCGAGGTAATTATGGGCCATTTGACTGGGCCTTCGTTCATCTCCAATGCCCGCAGTGCATTCGCATCGAGACCTGCGAGGACCTGCGAAAGACACACTGAGGATGCCTTCGCGTACCCGCGGCCAAGCCCGCACAAACTCGCCTCCTCCTCAGCAGCGGCCTGACCCAAACGGAGCCTCGGACGCAGGGCAGGTTCGGAGGGTAGGAAGCAAACGCTCCTGCAAGTTGCAGGCAGAGGGTGGCTGTCTGCAAGCTGCGACCGCTGCCACCTGGCCCGATGTCAAGACTTTCAGGCACGATTCGAACTTGATCATGTGCGAGAATAGCATGAGATCCTTTAAAGCAACTCATGCAAAAGCACCTCCAGCCAAAGAATCGAATTAAGATTACAAAGAGACTCCTCAAGGTCCACCAGCATGCAATCGCACACCCCTGCCTGAGTTTTGCCAAGCCTTCAGAGGCGCGCCTCATGTAGTAGCACTTGCATGTTCAGGGTTTGAAACCGAAAACGGAAACGGAGAAGCATCGCAAGTCTCATCCCGGTGCTCCTCCAACATAATCACCATATGCAATCGTTTTGCATAGTTTTGCATACTCTTGCTCAGCCCAGCACAAATACTTGCTCGCGGCTTCTGTCAGTGCTTTGGGAAGCGTCGGTCGCCTTGGTTGAAAGCAGTTCATGTCAGTTCATGTGGGCTTAGGTGCAAGGCGACCAAAGAGCATCTTCAAGAGGCGAGGCCATGCTGCGTGGCGGACAGGCGCGGAATAGCAATAGCAAAAGCATAGAAAGATCTTGCTTATTGCAGGGAGAGGTCGAATTCTCCTCCCACAACCGCAGCCAAGCTGCTTCAGCTTGGATGGGAGCCGGGCCTTGGTCAGCGTCCCGTGATATGCCGCGTCTCCCCCCACGGGCGACACAAGCGCTTCACACAAAAAGGGTTGGGTGAATTCATCGTGATGCTCCGAGCCGGCGAGCTCAGTAAGCTCAGCAAAACGCTGCCTGAGGCAGAGACAAGCTTTCCAGACTTGCTTGGCGACAGAAGACTCGAGCCGATTCCGGCGGAAAGCCCGCCTGCACCAGACATCGCTACGAAGGCATGATACTCTCAGATACTCTCAACACCTCGTCAACACCGCATACATGATCATACATGATCATACATGGCTGCCTGCTGTGGAGCCAGGGCTGGCCGTATTCCTTGGGAGCACCGCGACAGTCTGGGAGCACCGCGACAGTCTGGCGTGCTGCCCGCTTGCTGGGCTCTGTTTTGAACTGCGGCAACAACACAGAGAACTCATAGCACAATGGCCAACTGAACATCAGACAAACCTGTGCTGATGTGCCATCTGCACCGCAGTGACAAATGGTCTGTACCACCACTGCATGTAACAGTAAAGCTTGTGCACAAAGTACCCCCACTCACTCACCCAGTCACTGCCTCGTAACTGCAAAGACCTCGACGTCGGTGACCACGGCTTGCTGGGTCTCGGCCAGGAAAGTAAAATTGCCCTGCGGGCTGGCACTGCTGTAGGTGTTCCCAATACTGAAAGCCACCTTGGCTGCGGCCCCTTGAGAGAAGACGCGCATGTCGTGACCGCCCCCAAAGGTGGCTGAATGACCTGGATGACAGTAGATGCCATTCGGGTGATTCTGAAAGATCTTGTGCTTGGACGGCTGGACAGTTCCAGGGCCCGCCAAGCGGAAGAGGAAGGACTCGCTGCATGCCTTGTACTGGCCACCGGCCACGGAAGAGTCCCAGGGTGTCTCCGTGTACCCCCCGAAGAGGTGGCCTCTGGCACTTCGGGCCACCAGCACTGTGGGGCCTTGCGCATCACACTTCTGGTGGAAGGCCTGGTGACTGAAGCCGTCCCGCGATGCCCGGTAAAGGAGGTCGAGGGAAACTTCTCGGGTAGAATCAGGCGTTGATTCACAGAGCATTGACAGAAGCTTGTCACGCTCACTCTCCCCTGCCAGCAAGTCAGAGTCCCAGGACTCCTTGATGACAGTTTGCAGGTTCAGGTACTTCAGCAGTCGCAGCCATGGAGCTCTCTTTCCGCTTGGAAGCTTCGGAGAAAAGGTGTTACCCAGAAGCCTTCCCAGACGTAGGTGCAGGAGAACAACTTGAAACAAGTCGGGGTCCTCGTCGAAGAAGATCCCCCCCTCCACTACCTCTTCATCTTGAAGAGTCCAATTCTCTGCAAACTTTTTCGCGAGAGCAGAGTCGCTGAAGAATGTTAAGGTTGAGTGCAAGGTCGACACGAGCTGCCCACCAACGTTCAAGCACACTATGTCAGAAGGCGTGCCCATGAATTGAGCCAGAAATTGTGCTTCCTCATCAAGCGCGGCGCACCAAGAAGACATGCTGGCTTGGGCAGCCAACAGACCATTTCCCTGGTCGAGTGCAGCTGTGCACACTGCCAATGCTTTGTCGAGCAGCTCTTGCTCTGACGGCTCCAGCTCTGTTTTTAGCTTCTTCGCGTGGGATAGGAGGCTCTGCGATGCACTTCGAAGATCCATGTAGCCCGCGACTGCAAAGACCTCGACGTCGGTGACCACGGCTTGCTGGGTCTCGGCCAGGAAAGTAAAATTGCCCTGCGGGCTGGCACTGCTGTAGGTGTTCCCCATACTGAAAGCCACCTGGGCTGCGGCCCCTTGAGGGTAGACACGCATGTCGTGACCGCCCCCAAAGGTGGCTGAATGACCTGGATGACAGTAGATGCCTTGCGGGTGATTCTGAAAGATCTTGTGCTTGGACGGCTGGACAGTTCCAGGGCCCGCCAAGCGGAAGAGGAAGGACTCCGTGCATGGCTTGTACTGGCCACCGGCCACGGAAGAGTCCCAGGGTGTCTCCGTGTACCCCCCGAAGAGGTGGCCTCCGGCACTTCGGGCCACCAGCACCGTGGGGCCTTGCGCATCACACTTCTGGTGGAAGGCCTGGTGACTGAAGCCGTCCCGCGATGCCCGGTAAAGGAGGTTGAGGGAAGGCTCCCCGGTAACATTGCCTGTTGCCTTCAACCAGGTGTTTAGCTGCTTGACCTGGTCACGGGAGACCAAGGTGCTGTCACTGAGTTCACGAAGCGCCTGCAAAGGTTGCACAGAACTTGTCAGTTCATCGTGGGTCAACTCTGAAATTTGTTTCTGGCTGATGCACGCATCACGACAGCACAGGTAACTGCACAATGACAGAAAGCCGGCACGGTAGCTTTGAGGAAGGGAGTCGACCGGAGGCGATGGTGCAGGCGTGTCTGGCTCGAGACGCTTCAAGTCGACCAGCCATGCGAGCAAGGCCCTGAACTGAACAGGATCCACATCCAGAAACACCCTGCCATTCTCATCCCGTCGCAGTGCCTTATCCCATCGGCCAGAGAACAGAAGCGCCAGGCGAGAACCTGGGATTGCCGTCAAAGTGTCACGCCTGGTGGTGAAGCCGGTGTTGCCGCCAACATTCAACCTTACAGTATCCCGTGCCGATGGAGTGGGGCAGTTCTTCTCCTCCTCGCCCTTTGATGGAAGTTTGGCATCCAAGTCCTCCTCCATTTGCCGCCGCATCTTCTGCAGATGCCTCTCCTCACAGTCCAAGTGCTCCTGCAGTGCGGCAGTGGCTTCTGCAAAACCCAGCCCGACTCCGCTGGAATCCATAGCCATGCTGGGAGAGCGCAATGGTCTTGGGGATTTGGGGGGTTCGGGATTCGGGGTGCTTGGAAAGCCCGACACCATAAACCCGAAAGCCCTAAAGCCCTAAAGCCCTAAAACCCTAAACCCTAAAGGTGTACTAAGGCGTTCAACTAAGTTCTACAAACGAAATCCAAAGTTGCGGTCAAATCAAACTTTGAATGAGGTACCCCTAGTATCGGGAACCCCCATACAATCTCTACCGGCCATCGGCGGGAGATCTTCGGCTTGAACCTCGCAGTCGGTCGTGTCTGCTGTCCTTCGCCACGCTGTCCAACTGTCACACACACACACAGAGACACACACACACACACACACAGACACACACACACACACACACACACACCCACGCACGCACGCACGCACGCACGCACGCACGCACGCACGCACGCACGCACGCACGCACGCACGCACGCACGCACGCACGCACGCACGCACACACACACACACACACACACACACACACACACACACACACCCCAACCAGAGGGGGGGGGGGGGAGTTTAGGGTTTAGGGTTTAGGGGCAGCTTCTGAAAACAGTCTCAGTCAACTGGCATCCCAAAGGTTGAAAAATCGCAGATCCCCTAGATTCAGGATCATCCGTGGGGGTGTATTCTAGGTACATACAGCTATATTAGGGGGCTTACGAAAAATAGGGAACCCTTAAAAGACCTCCAAATCAGGACCCCAACAAAGTACCCTGAATTTCGGAAACCCCCATATCTCAGGAATCACAGAAGGCCACGGAATCCAGTGAGCCGGGGCCCGTGCCCGGTTTCTTGACTCAGATCGAGCTGGCCATGCAGATCCTGCAGGCCGTGCGGCAATCAGAAAGTTCACCTTCTCATGGCCACTTCTTACAATTGCTGTAATTCTGGTGCTGCTTTGAGTTGTAGTGAAATATGAGATGAAAGGCATGCGTGCTTTAAGGATGCACGGCCCAGCTCCTCTCCTTGTCGACCTTGTCACTTCCAGGCACTACTCGCTATTGCCGCACAGCTCTGGGAGAGTTCCGCGCTAGCACGGCGGCTATGCCTCAAAAACTATACGAACTAACCCTCAGTTCTCGAGAACACAGGCATTACTTTGGTGGCAACTGGTGCTGCGAACTGAAATGCGGGTCTGTCCGGGCAGGGAAGAATCATTATGGAAGCTCCTTTGTGGATACCACTACCCGTAGCATAACAGCGTAGAACAGCTACATTGGCTATGTCGTGAAAGAAACATCATGACCCTGGTCCACTCCTCCAACTCCCCCTTCAGCTGCTGCCACAGGGTGCCCAGCGTCTGTCGGACCTTATGACCGGCTCTGATCACATGATTAGCCGTTTTGCGGCTGCATGCTGCTGTATTCTACCTCTCCGGCTGGCCTCCATGGCGTCATCTCCGCTAGAGTCGCCGAGGCTCCTCTGCTCCGCCTGCGGCACAGCGCGGAGTGCTGCGGAGTGTCGGAAACACATCCAACGGATCAGGTTGGGCTAGGCCTGAAGGGAGCAAGTCTTAGCATGCTGCACCATATGACATATGAGACTGTGACTCTGAAGCAGAAGACTTGTGCGATCATGCATGGGTCGAAGGTGATGTCAGCAACCGCTGGATCACGACTTTACCTTACTTCGTAGGGTTGATCTGGCAAAGACTCCACTGAGACTGATTTCCACCTCAACGGCCTCGATGAGCTTTTGAAGGTCCTGTGCAACCACTGCTTGTAGCGCTGACTTGCAACGTTGATGAAGCTGACGCGGCCAAAGACTCGTAGCACGTCGCACGAGTAGCAACGCTCAGCACTTCCGATACGGTGAAAGTGAAATTGACGAGGCCTGCCGATGTAACTCCATCAAGCCCGACATCAGCAGGCGCTGCTCCAGGGACTCTGGGTCCTGTGCAACAGGCCGACGAGTGCAAGGCACAAATGGGCGAAGTGCAGATAGTTTTACCTGGCACTGAGGCGCACTGATCATCACATTCACTCGCTTCGGCCTTGCCGTGCGCCCCACTGGATTGTTGAACTTTGTCGCGGAGCTTCCTCGGTTCAATTTCAAGGCATGGTTTGTGCTCCACTGCTCGGCAACGCAGATGCACAACATCTCGCAACTGCGATCGCGCTTCTTCTTGCCTGGAATACTGGACAGTGGCCGACTTGAATCTCACACTTCCAGGATCCGACACCCGCAATGTCGCTCAAGAACTTGTCCCGAAAGCATGCGAGGGTTGTTCAGCAGAGGTGGTCTTCGAGAAGGTTCTTCGCTAGCGTTGATGAATGGATGGATGTCGAAATGGATGTCGTGATGGGTGATGCATGGATGGAATCCGTGATTCGAAGTCTTAATTGTGGCTTGAAAAAGTTTTCGGGACAACCGCTCTCTGGTTGTTCAATACAGGCAGGGTATTGGCTAAGAATTCCTTCCTTAAGAACTTGAGGGGGCTGAACTTTCCGACGCATAGGCCTAGGCTTATTCCCACCTCTCGCTGGGTGTCTATGCGCCCCCTGAAATCTGGAGGGCGCATGCTTAACTCAGTGTTGAAGCAGGCAGGAAGTCGGAGAAAGTCCCCGAACTAAGGAGCCGAGCCCTCAGATTCCAGCGCAGGGCTTTACATGTTCCATGTGAAAGAACTTTTGGGCGAGTGGCTACAGCGTCCTCACTCGGGCCTTATGTTGCTACTTCGAACCCCAGTTAAGACTGGGCCAGAACAGCAGCCACATACACAAATTACAACCGCTCTCTAGAACCAGAGCCTCCCCTGACCGGACTCAACGCTCACGTTCTTAACTCTTCATCAGCGCACGCACTGTATACCAAACACCGAGAGCATCGTAAAACAACGAAGAACCAGACTTATGACAAATACCCAACATGAAGCCCTTTAGACCCCCTCCTTCCAGGTGCCCGGGCGCCAGCTCCTTGCGCAACGCGTCCAGCCGCGCTGAGGAGGCCTGGGCGCCGGGGCCAGCGGCGGCGAGCTCCTTCCGTGGAAAAGAGAAACAGGGAAAGAGATGGGAGGTTCTAAAGTTTGGGAAGTTTGGGGCTTGAAGGGTTTGCACTTGATACCACTTGTGATTTTGCGAGACCGTGGCGTGGTCAGCGGGCCTCGGCGTCAAGTGATCGAATGTCGCTGCGCTTCGGCGGAAGCATCCTAGGCTGCAGGACATCGACATATCCCAGCTTGGATTGCAGTTCTTGGTGCAAAGGATGGACAAAGACAACAATCTGCCATTCTATGGGACTCCCACTTGTGATCAAGAGCATCTGCACGTACTGGGACAGAGGCAAATTCGCCCTCCGTGTCGCGGCATAGTCTGGGAAAGCATGACAGTGGGACAGGAACTGTAGATGCAAACGTCCCGTATGCAGTGCAGATTCAGTGCAGGCAAGATCAGGCAAAATCCAGCGGTTCGCTCCGAGAAAATGACAGCGTTGCCCAGCTCAGGCGGCGGCTTAAAAGCTTGCTGCTGCCGCGGGTCAAGGTCGGGCTGGAGGAGTCCTGTGCTGTGGTTGATTGCACGCGCTTCTCATCTGCAGTCTCGTGGCATCTTGTGGCATCTCGTGGCATCGGCACCGGGTTGGTTGCCGGTTCTCCTTCTCCTGGTCTGTTGCGGCGCCCGAACGATCAACGGCCTGTCAAAGGTTGCGATGCAGGGCGCGGCACGGCTCTCAGAGTCGGCGAGGACTCAAAGCTCTCAGGCCCCTTCTTGCAAAACGTCCCCCCCCCCGATGAGGCCAGGGGATGTCAGGGGCTTCTCAAGTAGCTCAGGCTTAACGGCTCAGCATCGGCTTAGCAGCGCCTCCAACTCCTCCTTCAGCCCGGACCAAACACCGTTGAGCTGCCTCGCCACAACACCCGTGGAAAACATGTCTCTGCTTTGCTTCCTCAAAGGAGGGCAACAGCATCTTGCCAGCCGTTCAGCCTTCTCATCAGCACATAACCAGCACCAATAACTCGGCCCCCCCAGCATCAAGACAGCCATGAGAAAAGATGAGGAAGGCCTCCAAGCATCAGACTGCTGGCCGGTCCACTCTCCTGTGGCGCACAGAAGATCCTCTCGACCTACTGTACCAAGCGGCCCTCGATTCATGCCGCTGCTTAAGGTTGCGCCAACACCCCAACTGCTGCCACGAAATGGCGAGGCTCCTCCAGCCTTTGCCGCCCTTTCCGCCTGCGAAGAGAGATGTTGAGAGAGCGCAATCCAGAGGTTTGTGTCTGCAGCATACTCCCATTACCCTTGGTCATGAATCGCTGAAGCTCTGGCCGTACAGTACATGGAGAGGCCTCCTTGCAGGACTGCATCTCCTTCTTGAGCAAGGACTCCATCTCCTCAAGCTTCTTCTTGTCCTTGCCAAATCCGGACAAGTGAGGCATGGTCATCTTATGAAAACTCAGAGCATCTCTGTGGATCGCTGCAGAATCTGCAGAAGAGGGCTAGCAAGCAGCATCGCATGTTGTCGCTCTGTCAGGGCGTCGAACGCTGCCCCATGCTGGTCCCAAACAGTGCTGCCATGGGGGGCCTTCTGCGTTCGTGCGTCGCGCAGCGCAGCCGCAAAGCTCGCGGCTCGAGCTGCTGCCTGGCCAACAACAGCATGAGCTCGCCACAAAAGTGCGGTGTCGCAACAACCCCGAGGATATGCCATGTGCGCGACTCAGCATCTGGCCTGCTTGAGGCCTTGGAGCCATGATTTGAAAGGCACCTGCTAGGGTAAATTTGCATGCACACAAATGGCCTCTGCCCACATAGCTACCTTTTGCAATGCTGGATCGTACTGGCTAGATCACTTAGAGCTGGTTAGCCCTACTCTACTTCGCAACTGATCACGTGGGCAAGTGAGCCTTTCGAGTCGTCTGGGCCTTCCGGTCCGGGCCAAGACGAGGGGCGGACTGCCCCAACCTCATGCGGGTGTGCCATCATGGAGCGAACAGTTTTCAAGTCTTCACTTGCTCTTCTTACCGCATGCACTGTTGGACTAATCAGAAGTCG